GTTTCTCTTCTTGGCGGCCGGGAGCGGGGGGCTCCCAGAGCGCCCGGGACACCCAGAGCGCCCGGGAGATTTTTAAAATTTTTTACAAATTTTTTTTTTTACAGCAGCAGAGCCGCCGGACAATAGGAAACTATTGGGCGGAGCTAGCTGTCACTGCTAGCTCTGCACAATCGTTTTCTATTTACTTTTTTCTACTTTTTTCACTCTTTTTCTGTTCTGCTCGGTGCCTCTGAGGGACCGAGCAGAACAGCCGAGCCAAATGCCGCTCGGCGGCATTCGGCTATTCTCTCACTGCTGTTCGGGATCTTTCAGAATAGCCCGAACAGCAGTGTGAAGCCTGCCGGAGGTTCGGCTCAGCCGATCCAGATGTTGGATCGGCTGAGTCGAACTCCTTCTGCACTTCGGGTCAGCCGAACATGCTGAGCATGTTCGGCTGATCCGAAGCCACACGAAGCAAGCCGATGTACGGCTGATTTCAGCCGATGTACGGCTGAAATCAGCTGCACCAGCCTGAAGTGAATAGCCGAACAGTGTTTGGCTCACTTCACTTCTGATCGGTCATTCACTCGGCTGCCCTAGGCAGCTTTGTGAATAGACCCCGAGTCAGCTCCTCCTCTTCTGAGCCCTATAGAACTACTCTCTTTTAATAACTATAGAAGGTAGCTCCCACCTGCTTTGCTCTTTTGTCCTTGCTCCAGTTCACCTAAGATCATTGCTTCCCATCAAGCTCTGCTATGTTTAAGCCCATCTTTGTTCAGCCTCTCCTGGAGTGGAAGGTTCTGATATGGGGGATAGACCCTCATAATTTCAGTGGCGTCCTATACTGCCTTCCTTACTGGGAAAATGATGTGTCAGCTATGCATTAAAGAACTCTCTCAAGTTGACCACAGTGGGGACGAATGCAGTGCTGCAGAGGCTGGTTACATCACTCTGGAGAATTCTGTTTCCTTTGAAGACTCAGTGGATAGGAGGACAGACCAACAGGGTTGGCAAGAACTTTACGTACCTGGATCAGTAACATCAAAATGGTCTTGCAGTCCAATGTAGAGAGGTCTTTGATTATACCTGCATTGCCAGACCTTGTGGGGGCATCTGATCTTGTGAGATGGTTGTGTATATGGTACATCTCTCTTCTCACCTTAAGGCTCAATCAGTAACTGTGAAGAGAGCCCTAAGGCTCAGGCTTTGGGCAGCAGACTCATGTTCCAAACATGTGCAAACAAGCTACTGCGGGCCCCTTCATCAGGCAACTATACTGATAATCAGACTGCCTTCCCAACCTGTTGCTATAAAGACAGAAAGCAAGATTTTGCCTACTAATGTACTTTCAAATCTGTAGTGTAAAGTTAGGTGTTACAATGTGCATGTGGCTTAAAGTGACATTAAACCCTCAGATTTTTTAACATAAAACAATACTGTAATGTGTGCCTCACTGTAATCCATGGTTGTTTCCCTTCTCTTTGCTGCTCTTCCTTTTAAATCTGTATCTCTTCTCATGCTGGGCAGAACTTCTGTTTTGCAGCAGACTGCCTTGTCTCAGGAATGGATATATGGTGTCTGTGTATATGTTTGTATAGGTTTGTAACCTGAGCCAGCACTACAGGAAGAGGCCCTGAGCTGCAAAGGGAAGTTCTCACCTAGCATGAGAAGACATGAGGATTTAAAAGGAAGAGCAGCTAAGAGAAGGGAAACAACCATGGATTACAGTAAGGCACACATTACAGTATTGGTTTATGTAAAAAAATCTGAAGGTTTAATGTCACTTAAATGTGTGTGTGTGTGTGTGTGTGTGTGTGTGTGGTTACTGTAATATTTTCTCTTTTGTGCAGTGGAAGTACAAGGAGAGGAGCTCTGATTTCATGCAGTCTGACAGGGTCTATTAGGAGCCATTGATGATTGCACTATATACAGTGGTGGGTGATGTCATTTGGTGGAGAATCTTCATTATCTATACGAGATTTAACTTGTGGAGGACTGTTTGATATTTTGTTATACTATTTATGAATTAAATAATTTTTGCATCCATACCGCATTAGCCTTCTGCTAACTTCCTGCAATCAATTCTTTAGTGCTATAGTTTGTTATTTTTTTGTTCTTGGCTACCAGCTGGAGCTCTTAATATTGAGTGAGACAGTGGTGCTCAACTTTAGGAGACTCCTAGTTGTTTTATTATTTTTGATACTCATGCTGCTCACCCACACTGTGCACCTACACTGTCTACACTGTGCACCTGCACAAACACCCAGGCAGTGGGAGACTGTAAAGGCACGATTGCAAACTGCGAGAATCGCGCCAAACCGCGCATGCGCGAGAATCGTGGCAAACTGCGCGTATGCGCGAGAATCGCGGCAAGGTGCGCGGGAAAACGCACAGGAAGTGAGGTAGCTGTCTGTGAGCCTTGGGACTATAAAAGGAGGAGCCAGCCTCTCTGGCATTGCTGATGGTCTTGTCAACTTAGTGTTTGTGCCTGTGTTCTGTATCTGTTACTTTAGCCTGCCTTGACTCGGATTGCTCTGGACTATTCTCTGCTTGCTGCCAGCCCCTGACCTCGGCTTGTTTCCTGGATATTGAGTTTGCCTTACGATTTTGTACCTCGCCTGCCCGACCGGATTTGACCTTGGCTTCCTGACTTCTCTTCACTGTTGTCACCACGCAGTGGGTGTTTCCAGCCTACGGCACTCGTGCTCCTCTTTGCCCTGCACCCTTCTGTTCCCAACTCCAGGGGTCGCAGGACACGATTCGCAAGAGACGCCTCCCCATCTTCCAGTCTCAGCCTCAGGTACGTGATAGAGACTTTCTTACACCAACTTTGGGGAAAATTTTCTCCCACTGACAAGCAGTCAGGGGCAGAAGATTTTTCCACTATTTGCATATTATAACCCTACACTGTATATGCTATGTTGTATATTATACTTCTGTTCCCTGCACTGTACTCATTATATTCCACATTATACACCTGACCCCTGCACTATGCTGTACATTATACTTGTGACCCCTGCCCTGTATACACTATGTTGTGCTCTATATTCCTTACCCCTGCACTGCATTCCGTTTTGTACACTGTACTGTATATGCTATGTTGCACATTATAATCCTGTTCCCTATACTGTATATGCTATGCTGTACATTATACCTCTGATCATTGTACTCCACTCACTATGTTGTACACTCACTGGTGGAACTACCAGGGTCGCATCGGTCGCCATTGTGACCGGGCCCTGGCGTTCCGCCTACTGGGGGGGGCCCAGAGAAGAAGAAGATTCCCCCCCCCCCCCCCCCCCCCTCCAGAGATCATGCCGCTCCTTCCCTGCCGCTCTGCCACCCGCAGCATGTACAGGCGGCTGTGTGGTAGGGCTGGAGAGGCTGTAACACTAGTCCCGCAGAATGTGCTGCAGGCACCGCCTGGCAGCACATTCTGCTGCGTGAGAACCCTCTCTGCTTAGCCACGCCCCCTGGCCGCCTACACATGGAAGAGGGCCCTTCAGGAGAGGGAAGGTAAGTCTGAAGTGGGAAGTGCGGGGGCACGGGGAAGTGTGGGGGGATGCTGGTATTCTGCATAGCTGACTTTTATTATAATGTATTGCTGGGACTTGTAGTCCCGCATAGCTGGTGGTATTCTGCATAGCTGACTTTTATTGTAATGTATTGCTGGGACTTGTAGTCCCGCATGGCTGGTGGTATTCTGCATTGCTGTATGATGATTATACAGCTATGCAGAATAGCACCAACTATGTAGGACTACAAGTCCCAGCAATGCATTATATTTTTAAGTAGGGATACACCACTGCCAATACTGGGCATTTTCACGAGTACTTATACTCATGAAAATGCCCCGATACTAAATGCACATACCGCTGTTCTTTCGAGAACGCCGATGTAGTCGAATTTGCCGACCTCAGCATTTGCATTTGCGCACAGACCAGTATTATCGAGGAAACCGGGATTTATTCACAAAGTATTTTGTTTAAATTGTTAATTGTGACCGTTAATAATATTCCACCCATCATTCACTGCCATGGATGGCATACTATTAACAGTCACAATTAACCATTACAAACGAATACTTTGTAAATAAATGCCGGTTTCATCTTAATCCCATCTGTACGTAAGCGCAGATACTGGGTCGGCGTTCTCGACAGAACACCGGCACAAAAAGTTTAAACAAGCGGCTGCCTGAGGTCCTGCGCTTGCTGGGGACCTCGGCACCCTTCCTGTTAACCATGCGGTGCCATGGCAGTGGGGGGTTGGGGGGGGTTTCCTTCATGGTTTCTTGCACCGGGGCCCTGAAGGTTCTAGTTACACCTCTGTGTACACTGTCTATGCCAGGTGGCCCATTTTACTCCTGACCCCTACTCTATATACACTATACTGTATTGTTCTTTATATCAAGCTGGCTAACAGAGTCCCAACTAGTTTTATTACTTTTGCCACCTACAAAACCCTTTAACCCATCAGCAGCCAAAACAAGTGTTGCAGTACTCAGCAGAAAGGACAGCGTCAAATGATGTTTTCTAAATATTTTATGCCAACTGTCTTTTCAGAATAATATTTGTTTATTATTGTATTCTCTGCAGGAGCTGTTGGGTTGCTACACTTTTAATACACTGTAGAAACTTAAAGGCATTTGGCATGCCTGGAATAGAATGTGGAAGGAGAACCTCTGTCAGGTTTTTATCACTGCCTGTGTCCTCTCTGAGGGGACGTACCCTTCCTAATGTTCTGATCAGTACAATGTTGGAAAGCGTAAGTGATGAGAAATTTAGAATTTCAGATTTAGAAATTCCGATTTCCTCTAACTTACTGTTACAATGGGACTCCAACAGCATAATAAACAGGAACAGGAACCATACCGCACTCCTTACCGGGATTCCCACTTGATGAGGATGGGTGCTCGAAATGACTACGGATGGCACCGCTACACATTCACTTCTTAATAAATATGTCCCAATGCATCCTGCATATCCCTTTAATCACAATTCAACATCCACTCAATCTGTTTATAAAACACATAGGGTTTTTTTTTTATTATTCTAAAATATAATTTTGGACATTTAAAAGTGCAACAGTTAACACATCTGTGGAGTACATCACAGTCAAAACAAATAAACAAAGGCAGTGATACAGCTTAACATAATTGTTTTGGCAGTATTTAAGGACTATATAGTAATAAAATATACAAATTGATGTATAACATCATCATAGCTTACGTCCTTCATGGCAAAGTAGGACTTTTAACACAAAACCCATTTCGTAGAAGTATCTCCTGATAGCAGTGTTTACTGGAAAATAAAAAAATTGCATTTGAAAGTTGAGTTTGTTGAACTTTGATGCTATTGAAATAAAAAGAAACTACCATTACGGTAAATAAATGGAATGTATCATGGAACCATCACACCTTACACTGCTTAATATATTAAACAATCTTGCAGATTTGGTCCACTTGGTTGGTTCTTTGAACCAGTTTCCAGTTTATATTGCATATCATTTGGATTATTACCAGTATTTAACAGTGGCTAATTATTGCTAATGGCTAGTCAACAAAGTTGAATTATATAATAATATTAATAGTAAAAGACAAGAATCCAGATGTCTTATGGCAATCAAACATACATCATATTCCCAAGATTGGTAGCTCCATTGTTCCTAATATGGCCTTCCTAATGGCAACCTAGGTATACCTTTCTTGCATGACCATTTTAGATCATGCCAAAAACAACATAGGCATCAGCACTGTACAAATATTTTTTGAAAGCCCAGTACCATATACTGTTAATTACCCATAGTTCATAATTCATGAAATTGTTTAAAATTGTATCATGTAAATAATATCACATAATGTTTAATGTTTCTCATAATCTGGCATTTTAGAACATGTTTTAGAACCTAAAGAAACAGAAATGTTCACAGTTGTTTATTGATGGAGTCTTAGCCCAAGCTTATGAAATGACCTGAAGTCTACTATTGTGATATCATGCCATATGTTCTACACAAATGCCCTCTTCATCAGTTTCTATGCTTCTGATATCCACTACACATCAACGAAGTGCATAAGCTTCCTCTTTCAGTAGAACCCCACTCAGTGGAGTCAGTTAAGGTTATTTTCACTCTGTGCCCCCTTTTGTACTTGTTTCAATAACATTAGCCGTGACATCACTGTCACTAATATATTTTTGCCAAATTATTTCTTGGTCAGCTCATTGAAGGGACACCACCCGTACCATTGACACATGTAAATCTAAACCTATACAATCTGATTAATGTTTTAGTGTATCATAATACAGTTAGAAATACTTAGTATTAGTTTATTTTACTTTGTAACATTGTAGAAAATTCTAAACTAGAGCTAGCTCTATTCTGTATGCTTCATCAACGTAAACTCTAGTGGTCAACATTTTTCTGCCAAACCTAAAGTCACTTCTACCACATGTTAGCAGAATTCTGCTATAAGCACTATTTCAAAATCTGTATTAATCCACAGACACAAAACTACATGACTTTATGTTAGCTTTTGTAATCTTTAAAGTCCCTTGTTAAAAAAATATTACTTTCAATTTATTACAATGGGTTACCAAAAATACTTCTAGTATTAATGCAAATATTTGCGTTACTTGCAGAGAACAATAGTTATGAAAGCATCGATGGTTACTGAGGCCCGGAGCCCCACAGTGTTTACCCCAACTTATGTTAAAGTTTGTTAAAGAAACGTATACTTTATGAGTCTTCTTCAGTCCTTGAAAGTGGTTTAAAAAGTGTTTTTCAGTTGTTTAACAGCAGCCAATTAAAAAAAGGAACAGCATGCAAAGTCTTGAGTGGTCTGTTCGCATTAGTTTATATAATAAGTTTATTTCTTCATTATTTACATAATTACACTGATGACATTCAGCTGCTGGTTGGTGCCTGCTTCATATAGGCTGGAATGCCCTTGGAACACATAGCTACAGTTTAAAGGTCTGTCGAAAAACATAAAAAAATATAGGAAGGATATGCTGAGATGCTACGATGTACCGCATGATAGAAATAAAAAATGTACTTGGAAGAGCTCAGGAAGCTGACCATTGATTCCAGTTCCTACTTGTGTTCTAGGTGCACATAAAGTTCTGAGAAAGTACCATGTGGTTGGCAAGGCTAATAGTTCCTTGTCATATTGTCCATTGCAATAAAGTGGTCTTCTGAGTAAAAAAATAGAAATCCCTGGATGTCATTTCTCTTGCTTTTGTTATTTCCTTGGAATGATTAGAGGAAAGGATGTTGAGATATGTGTTCTAGAGAAAACTGTCCTCAACTAGATCTGAAGAATCTATTCCAATGTCATCCATCATTTCAATGTCTTCAATGGTCTCATCCTCTCTCTTGACAATTGTCGAGCTGCTGGATCCAGTCTCAATTGCACTTTCTTCAGATGTTTGAGAACTGAAATTAAAAATGTTTTATCAGTTAATCAATGTATAAAAAATGATAGTAGGCAATACAATTCTGTGTTGTTGGGTTTACTGACTTCCAATCTACCTGGAAATGCATTAAAGCTCAGCTTCAGCTCAGTTTTTATGAGGGGGTGGATGGGGGAAGGGTTAGGATTTTTGTCAGGTGAATATGGGCTGGAAAATAAAATTTAGTTTCCCCAAGAGGATAAGGGTCATGAATAAAAATGTGGCAGGATTTCTAACTTTTTCCCATATTCCTAAAACAAATTAGGAATAGAGGTGTCAAGAGGATGTTAGGAATGTACCATGTTTTTAAAATTACCCATGTGCCAATAGTCTGCAATCCGCTGGTATATGGTAAGTGTACATGGGTATTAGAGGTCAGTTTTAGCATACAGTGCTCCATAAGCTCCAGTTCAAATACTGCCTTTCACATCTATAAAAAATGCATCATAAACGGATGTCAGAAGTAAAACACAATTGCCTGTGTACCCTTGCCACAAAGTTTCCAGCCACTTCCAAGATCTGCCAAACTCCTCCCATTAAGTATTAGGCACACAAAGGTCTAATTTTGCTGTACAAAAACCAATGGAGATGATGATGTTGAGTAATAGGTCCTGGAAGTGGAATGAATCGGGCTGAAGAGGGTTGTGAATATTAAGGTAATCTACCTATTATACTCGCTAATTTAATCTCAGCTGATCCCCTTTTAGTAATCTTTCTCTCATTGAAACACTTAGGTCTAGGTGATGACTGTGGCCACAGTACCTCAAGGCCAATCTTAGTTGGGTATGTCCATTTTCTTTTTACATTATTAACTTGTTGAGTCATTAAAAGAAAAGAAAGCTCCTGTAATTACCTGTGTCTGTTTCTCTTGCCTGACTCATCATCTGAAACCGGGTCAATATCTGGAAGAGGGATGATGTAACCACTATCAGCACTGAGTCTTTGTTCATCAAATACATTATCTCTGTCCTTCATTTTATTCTCATTCTTGTAAGTCACCCCAATGTAAGAGTTGTCATTTTCGCAACCCATACGAGTTACAGCTGGATGGTCACTTTTCAGGAAGTCATGAAGAATCTTCTCATAGCACTGCAAACAAGGGAACATATATAAGTTGTGGAATACTGGTATAACAGTCAACATACAAACACAACCAGACCCTACCATTAGTGGAATTTGTGTTAAACATATACGCAGATATATGAGACATGTGAGAATTCTGGGTGTCTTTAGGAGTTTTACTTCTAAGGAGGTTTACTTTAAGCTCCATACAATCTTTCTCTACATTTATTAAATGATTTATATATCCCAGTACTGGTACTCTTTTAAGTGACAGTATGAACCGCACTTATAAAATAACCTTTATTGTGGTGTTTGGCTTCCGTATATGTTTGCAAATGTATGTACCTGAGACTTTTTTTTTTATTATTATGTTAAATGAAGATTTTAATAATCTCCCTTTAGCTGAGTATCAGGAAGTATGTTTTGTGTTTTGCTAGCACTGCTATCTGCTCATGATTTAATCATGGGATCACTAAGTAATATCATAATATCAGAACAATACAATACACTTGTATTGTTGAGTAAGATACAGGTATTGTCTGACCAAGTTTGAATACAAAATGAACTGGGCAGCATGGTGACATTCTAGTGCCTATTGGACTATGCAGTGATATTATTACAAACTGTGCAACTACTACTGCTTATGAAAATGGACAGGTGCAATGTTTATATGATAGAATATCTATTTCTGCAACTTCAACTGGGCAGTTTTTGTGATGTTAAAACTAACGTAACAATCCCTGCCAGAGACAGAATGTTTAAAGTGTAGCTCATTATATAAATGTAATTAACCGCTAAATGTATATGATAATGAGGAAAGGTTTATGAAAATTATCCCAAAGATATAGTTAACAAATTATTATTTCCTTTTTTTTTTTTTACTTCTGTGAGATTTGCCATTGCACTAGATCCTTTTAACATTTGTTAACATATTACATGCGGTACGAAAACAATGCTAAAGGATGTCTTTGTACCGTTTTATACTCTGCAGGTAGAAGGCTTTCCACTATTTCGCTCAGATGGTAGAAGGAAGGTCTCTTCTCTGGCTCGCTGTTCCAGCACTTCCCCATGATGTCATATCTGGGATTAAAAAGACAAATTAAGTTGCCTTCATAATCACCATTGGAAAATATTTTAAGGTATTACGGACCCGCTGATCGCCTATATGTGTAACACCCGGTAACGGGTGTGTGTACTGATCGGGTCTTTTCTGCCCGTGGGTGCCCGCTAAGGGGCGCGCGCGAGCAGAAAAAAATTGCCGTCTGGAGACGGCAACCCGCAGATGCTGCAGTGCCGTCCGTCCGTTTTTCTACTACGGGCGGACGGCAAGAGGTTAAACATGTATACTTACACTTCATGGGTGGCATACTCTGGTTTTGCCATTCTGTAGCCACTTTTGATTTTGTTATAAAATGAAGAATCCACTACCATCCCTGGGTATGGTGTTCCACCTTAAGACACAAGAAAAACTTAATAAGGGTGCTGTTTCAAATACACACAGCTTCTCTGACCAATGTAAACCATTAATTCTAATTTGAACCACTTGTGGAAAAAACATATTAAGCTAACAACAATACAAGAAAAAAGTCCTCTTGTTAGCTAAGTATGTATTGGTCCTCACCATTTTGCTTTACAGCTATAAAGCTTTTAGATCTCCAAAGCTGAAATAAAATGTGATTGGCTGTGGGTTTCAAATAGCATTTTCTCTACCCCCACATTTCATCTATATTGTGTTTTGTTTATGATTCGCATACTGGATGTTCATTGGTGCACTGAAAAACGATGGATCAAATACAATTCATTGTTTTTCATTGTACTGCTGATACCATAAAATGTTTTACCGTACCTGTTTTTGGTAATCAGCACAGTATGATCACAATGCAGCATATCACATATCAGTTTAATGGGGTATACACAATGCTGGTGACCATACCTCATTCAATGAATAGGGTTTCTTATTATTAAATCTCACATAACATGATAATTATAAACACCTACCAAGAGAAAATATTTCCCAAAGAAGAATGCCAAATGACCACACGTCACTCAGGGTTGTATAGAGGTTGTCAAAGATGCTTTCTGGTGCCATCCATTTTACTGGGAGAAAAGTCTGCAGAGCATACAACAAGAAATGCAGCAGTGAACCCAAGGCCAGAAGTCTTAACTTTACACAAATAACAGACAGGCCAATATGATGTGTCTACAAGGAACATACAGGGGAGCTTTTAGCATGTGGCATCAGCTGAACTCACCTTCTAACTAGCTTAAAATAGGCTATAACATAGCAAAGTATATAATCTCAACAAATATTTACAGGACTAGTACTTGTTTGTGTGTAGGATAAAACATTTAGCCTAGGCAGACTTTGGGTGTGGCTGGCTAAATTAAGCTAGTGATTTAGGGTTTGCATACGTTAGATAAATGACATGTAATTTACTCTGACCTACACTTCCACCAAGCATCACTGCTCTAAAATCAAGCATGGCCATGAAAATTATAATCTTCTTTCTGTGTTAGACTGTAAAGCAAGGGTAGAAGTGATACGTACGCTGCCCTTTGAAACATAATTAGAGTCATGCATGATGTCTCTGGCCAGACCAAAGTCACAGATCTTGACTATTTTCCCCTGTGCCAGCAGAACATTTCGAGCTGCCAAGTCACGATGTACGCACTGTATAAGGATAAACAACATAGAGAAATTAGGGGCTTTGCAGGGAGTGGATTGCAAAACAACTCTGGAATCATTATGTGAAATGTATTTACATTCTTCGAAGCTAGGAACTCCATGCCTCGAGCAACTTGGTAGGTGATGCTCAGCAAATCCAGCATCGTCAAACCCTCAAAGCCTTCATCTGAGAATAGGTTTTTGACCTCTGTTTAAAGGAAAAATAGAAATATTTTATTTACAGTCAGACACTAAACTTGAGGACTATCTAAAGAATTAAAAAGCATGTATAGCTACATTCTAAATTTGCAAACATTCCTTGGTACGTTGATATATTATATATTATAAACTTGATATTTTATACACTGCATCAAGATCTCCCGTGTTGCCAAACATATTTATTATTCAAGTAGTCTGCCGTTTTAGGATGGAAAGAGACTGACTTATTTGTATTTAAACTTAATTATTGAGCAGACATAATATTGTATTTACACCCCACAAATAATAACACCCACTTCTCATAAATCTTCAATCTTGAGAAGGGTTCGGAGATAATCCATTACATTAGAGGACATTCAAGTAAAAATGGTGTCCACTGTAAAGAGTCAGAACATAGCATTGAAACCAATAAGGATATTAATTATCCTGTATTTAGATATATCTGTAGTATTAAAATAATTTTAAAAAGCTGACTTAAGTGCTTAACTACTTAAAGCTGCTAAATGGCTTATTTACCTGACATGGGCTTCTTTTTGTAAGATGCAGGACGATCATACCAGGACCTCTGAATGTCAGAATACTTAGACACCTCGTTCATCTCATGCATTGGAACATACTGGGTATTGTCAACCTGCTTCATGTCCATATAATCACCATTATTTTCAAAGGATAAAATTACATAGCTGCAATGGAAAAAGAAAAGTTATCAAAACCTGTTGAACAGTTTCTTGTAATAGAGGTCAGATACATACATGCAACTTGTAACTCATAATTTCAGCAGAGTAATTGAATGCAGGTAACATGCTATTTTTCACATGCAGAAAAGCAGAAATTATAGGTGAATTTGTCCATATATGATCAGTTCGGTTGGCTTTTCGTTAACCAAAATGACCTAGAAGAGGACATAATGGTTAGATGTTTTCACTATTGAAGATCAACTCAGGTCTGTGGACATTTTTAAAATGTAAAGATAGAATGTATTTTTATAGAACTAATAGCATATTAAATGCCTAAAGCCCAAATCATGGTTCATAAAATATTCTACAGTAGTCCACTTTATAGTAGGTTAAAGACACTGGCTAGAGGGGGTTGTATGGTATCTTTAATTGGGGGAATCTGACTGTGGAGAAACAATAGTAAATGCTACTTACATAGGTGACACACTATTAATTTTGATGGAACTTTTCCTACTAATGCCCTCCTATGACACCTGCTTTGGTCAAAATATGTCTTGTTACCACACTACACTGGTCTGTTAGTGTACACTAAGTATACTAAGTACACAGTCCTGTGGCAACATGTGTTTTGTGTAGTGTTTACCCCACACTACTGCATTCTCAGGAGCATATCTGTTCTTTTAATTGGAATCTCACGATGACAGTACATACAGCACACCAATGAGAACTTTTCAAGTGATTTTTATTTTACCCAATGCAGATTATGTGTTTGTCTTTTTAAGACTCAAGACCAAAAGATCACCTGTACCTAGTGGAATAATAGTGACATATATGACACTTCGGTGGCTTTGGTCCAGTAATAGGCGCATAAGGCCCGTGGCATACCTTTTTATAGCAACCATGTTGGAGTGCTGTGAACTTTATGAAAATATAAAGTATATATGTACAAATACTGGATGTATAAAATACAGATTATCTCAAGTTGGCATGCTTTATGTAAGGATAATAAATATGTTTCCATCCAATTAGTTTGCATTAAAAGTCACATACATATTAGTATGAAGGTAGAAAGTAAAAAGGTGCCATACTTTTCATACCTTCTGGTGCTCTCATCAACCGGGTTCAGTCCAAAAATGTCAAGATCTTTCTTCAGCTTTTCTGACTGTCGACTCTGAAAGTTGTCCCGATTCTTGTGCAGATAATTCACCAGGTCCCCATAAAAACAGTATTCAGTAATGATGTAAATAGGTCCTAGAAGATAGAAAATTAGCCAGTTAAGCTACTGCTTTTAACAGTTTTGGATGAAGTGGTCTAACTGCACCTCTGTATATTTTGGACAGATCTAACAAATCTAACTTAGCTTTTCTAACATCTAATTTTGAACTTAGAGGATTATTAAAACGGCTCTAAATGTTTAAATACTGTACACAGTTGTAAATTCACGTTTGGGCATTAGAGAAGTATTCCATCTGAGATATCACCAAAGGTTTTATAAAGAGGATCAAAGTAAAATAAAAAATTAATATAATAATAATATTAGATACCTGACTTGGTGCATGCTGCTAACAAGTTGACTATATTCAGATGAGGTCCAAGGTGAGTCATGATTTTCAGTTCAGACATTAGAGCTTGTTTCTCACTGGATCTGGCAGTGGCTGTTAAGTAGGAAATAAATTGATATATTTACATTTGTTCAAAAAGTATATGTATCATTAAATGTTTTTTTTTAGATAGATAGATAGATAGATAGATAGATAGATAGATAGATAGATAGATAGATAGATAGATAGATAGATTATCGTATGGATAAAATATAAATAGAAAGATAGTAAGAACACCTACGTTTAAGCATTTTCACAGCTACTTTCATCACAGGCTGTGACCGGCTAAGTCCATATGCGGCACCTTCTACTACCTTTCCAAAGGCACCAGATCCAAGTATTCGACCTGAATATTATAAAACAAAACACAGATTGTTCTATAAAATTGTATTAAATAAAACAGAAAAACAAGTAAACTGAACTAATGTTTTCAGCTGCAAAGAAGAGCAAAATAACATGCTTACCAATTACATTGTCACACTAATTGCAGATGTGTCAGTTTTTGCGTAGATGCTAATGGTTTCAATAATCTGCTTTTTTTTTTACCATTGAATTCTCAAAAATTCTCAAAAAGTTAAAGGAACCTTAGTTTTCTTACCAAGAACAAGGCCATCTCTTGGAAATTCCCATCTTGAGTCATAGGGCAATTGCATTGGATCTACGTATATATACTCATGGCCATCTGGGCTGATAGACTCAATGACACGCCATCTAATTTCATATCTAGGTTTCTGAAAAATAAAAATAAAAATTAGGTGTGAGAATGTCTATGAACAAATGGGGTGTTGACCACTGCTTCACTGTGTGTGAGAGTCATTTCCTACCTGCTTCCATATGATGACTAGGACTATGAGTGATATGATGACAATCACAAGAAGAACGAGTACCGCAGCTGCCACTGTTAGTTCTGAGCGTAGAGCTGTGAAGAACAATTCCTTGATTACAATACTATATTTTCAAACACTGAACTACAGGGCTATAATAACAAGTATGAGTAGGAACCCAGGTTTTCCTTTTGGTTCATGAGGAGAACAAATTTTAATAAGGGGATTGAAGGGTTTGATAATGAGCACTGCACAAGCTGCAATAACCTATAAATCAACAATTATGATTCATTGTTCTGACTCTACTAGTTTAAGAAAACTAAAATCTGGTTGGTTGGTTGGTTGGTTGGTTGGTTGAAAACAGGGGAAAATGCATGAAATAACTTTTTGGTATATGAAATGTTAACTCTAAAAAATATGCACTAAGAAGCAAAGCTTGGCAAACAGTATCAAGGATAAATTGGGGTACAGGGAAGAGTCTGTTTACTGAAGTCTCTAGTATAATAAAGTAACTGTTATCAGCTAGCACAACCAGCCTTTCAAAAGAGCATTTTAGAAAGGTGCATTGTCTTAGTACTTACTAGCAGCAACCAATTTCAGCTCCCTTGCAACAACCCCAAGATCATTCTTTGCTATGCACCGAATTGCTACAGTCTCATCAACCTTCTTGAAAGTCACTTGGCTCTCCACTGTGTTCTCATTGTTTTGATGAGTCTCCATCATGATTTCTGTACCATTGGTTACCAAAACAGACCAGGAGCTGTCATTATTACACCTGAAAAAAACAGCACATTGTTAGGGATCAGGTGTTGCTATGTCATGGACCACATATTGTCACACTGCAGAAAATGTAAGCCCTTTACCTTTTTATATCCTTGCACACCAACCATTCAACATCAGGAATGGGCATTCCTTTAGCCAGACACTCCACAGTTTGCTGACCAGATGAGCCATGATGATCATCCACCAGTTGTAATATCAAAGCAGGAACTGTGGGGAATTGAAGAAAAACTAAACATAATACTTTCCGAAGGGGTCTATTAAGAAATGTTTTAGATAAAATGTTATGTTTTAGATACTTTCTTTGTAAAAATAATTATTAAATTGCTAAAGCATATGCATAGTACATTCAGATCAAATACTCAAGGTCTAAGAGGGTCTTACAGTGTTATCATTACCCTGAGTAAGTTCTGGAGTTTCAGAAAGCCTGAAATACTTTTATACTTTCATGCTTTTATAATGACTGGTAGATAAGTAATTAGACGGCTGCGGTGCAGGGTGACCCATTATTAAACAATCAGGGCCAAAGGTAGAGAAAAGGTAGTTATTCGAGAACCTATGTATAGCAGTAGGTGTCCCAGAACAAGTTAGTGACTGTGACTAAAACCTGTCAGGGCATACTGGAAAGCCTTCTTACAAAATGTTCCATTGGCAGAAAGAGAAATAACAAAAGAGAGCTTATAGGGACACTGCCATTCATAGTATTGGGAAAATGAATTTTGTTAATGTTCAATCTTGTATAGACAGTACTTTTTCTTTTATGGCACTTGTGAGCTCTGCTGTTAAAAAAAAAGTTATTAGTAAATTACTGAGGACCTGGGAACTGAAATGTTATGGTACTTGAGTAAGCAGACAAATCATGGCTCTGGGAGGTTTAGTTGGATGTCCAAGATGTAAGAGACTCTCCTTTAAAAAGAAGTGGGTCTGGACTGGAGTAATCCATGGGGACTGACCCTCAATATGGGTATTGAAGAGTGGAACCTAAAATGCTAGATTTAGGAATAACAATAGTGTAAAATCACAGGCCAATGGAGATTCCCTGCAAGTGACTTATGTGCATAGAATATGAATCCCTACTATGTGTCTGTGACAAAGACCATTTATGTTATTTGTGCTAAAAAGATAGAATCACCTATAAAATTATGTATTTACCTTTAATTTTCAGCTCAAATGAAGATGTTTTATTTTCTGCATCATTCTGAACTACAAGTGTATACATGCCGCCATCCTCTTCTTTGACACGGATAAGATTCAATCTACTTAAATATCTGGAAAAAACAAGATGCACACATTTATGGTATATCTAAAAATATGGTATTTTTAAATGGTATGTATAAAGTGAATATATACTAAAGCTACACACTTTGATGGCCACAGAGTTGCAAAGAATATATTTTACTGGAGCTGAGCTATTAGTGTGAGAGCATAACAGGAGTGTCACAACACCAATGGGAGTGCAACAATCTTTTACAGATGTCCTTACGTTACATTCCACATTAATCCTCATTTTAAAAAAAAATAATTAAATGTAAAACTCAGCATCTGTGAACTAGACTAAATCTGGGCATACACTTACAGATTTATTTAGTTCAGCCTGAAATGTGGACTGACAAATCTCCCCTGCTGCTGTTCATAATAAATAAACAGTAACTGCAGTTCATTAGATGACTTTAAGTCTATTCTGGTGTGTTGGCAGCCCGATCAGACGAATGGACTCTGTAAATGCACCCCATCAGACCAGATAGGCCTAAATGAGTCCTAACTAAATATAAATATAAAACTTTTATTTATTCCAAGACATGAAATTGGTATACAGTTTATCTATGTCTTACTTAGCTTCCTCATTCCTGATTGTGGTCGTAGTGATCTCAGTCATGCTGTCATTCAGGGTGACATAGTCCTTTAACCAGAAGATCTTTGGTGATGGGTAAGCCTCTACCTCCACAGAAAAAGATTTTACTTCATGGAGATTTGCAAATTCTAGCTGTCCAAACTTGGGGATCAGTGTTACAAATCCTTTATCTGCAATTGAAAAGGATTTACAGAAATTACACAAAGTGTTACAGGTATTTTAAAATCCATTTACTTCCACAAAAATAAATTTTAAAAAATTCCAGCTTAGCTATGTAGCACAGTGCATGTTCTTTGTGATTCCCCTCTCGCTCACATATGTCAGCCTACTAAAATTGACTAAAAACAATGTCCTTGGCTTATCCTGTAGCTGATTTTAACTCCTGCTGAAACTGACTTTAACCATACTGAGCATGATTCACTAAAGTGCCAAGTGAGGTAAACTGAGATGAGGCGAACGCGTCAAAAATCCAATAGCAAATTTTTACAAATCTGCACCAACCCGCCCGTAAAATTGCCTTTTACTCACCGTGAACTGTCACGTTAACTGTTTGTGCTTCTTTGCCGTCTCCTATGGCAAAAATGACTGCACATTCATATTCCCCAGAATCCTTTTCTGTAACATTTGGGATGGTCAGTGTATATTCCAGTCTCAATTGAGGCTTCTTGCTTTCTTCAACTTTTTTAATGCCAGATTTTCTCTGCAATTACAACACATACTCTTTAGGGCACACAAGAAATAAAACTTTACCATGTAATTATTTAAGAGAGTCAGTTAGTGTTATAGGCCGATTCTACAAACATGATGCAACATTTAGATTCTGTACAAAACATCTGCCAAAAAAATCCAGTGGCATGTTACCTTTGTAGAATATAATTTAAAATTCATTGGGCAATACTAAGTAAAAAAGCTGTAAGTATTGGTGTTATTATGTTGTTATTTGATGACGTTTAAAGTGGTTGAGTTAGGGATCAATATTTGCAACTTGATTTAAGTGGATTGACTTTTCTATCCAGGGTCACTGTACAATCATGGAAGGGAGTTATGCAAGAATAGAAATTGTCCTCCATATTTGAAAATGACAAGGGCATAACTATAGACTTGGCAACAACAAATTACATCTATAGGACTTGAGGGGACAGGAGATGGGAAACATTGCTGATTATGCCAAATACTAATTTATATGCCAAAATGTCTGCTAAACAAGAATGTAAGACCCTGTTAATAATCCAGAGTCATATCTAATTCATGTGCTATCTGAGAAGCCCAATCTTCTGCCCTGGTTCTCCTGTTCATTTTATTCAGTCTGTTATTTTTAGGCCATGTCACAGTCATGTGCTTAATATAAAGACATAATGAGCAAGGCCTAATTAGCTGCTGGCTGTGGCTAAGTGATCACCTAATTCCCTGCGGATAGCAAATTTTGTCTGTGCACTATTGTTCTTTTCCATCAGCACAAAAATTATTGTATTTTCTCAGTGATGGCTTTTTTGATGTCCTTTAAATGGCAGCATAATCACAAACAATATAATAATTAGGAAGAAATAAAGTCAGTCATTGTATACTATTGATTGATCAAAGAGGGTCATCGTGCTGCAACCTGTTTTGTTGTCAGGGCAGTAACATTTGGTAATTTGTTTAATCCCATTCCTTTAATTTCCACACTGCCACAAAATTATAAAGACTGTTTGGAGGTATAAGCATTCACACTGTCTGCTTGTGTTTTTTCCTGCAGTTTTGAAATGTAATAGGTGATCAGTTTGAACAGTGTATGATATAGTCCTACTTCATCCTGTAGAATATATCTTTATATTGGCAACATCATGGAATACCAAAGTTAACTATTCATACGATCAGTTAATAAGTAACTAAAGTACTACACGTCACAGAGTTGAAGTGAGGAAACAGGAAAAGAGAATAACATCTAAAAACTAATGGGGGTGAATAGAGTTTGTGTAGAAGGGAATGCTTTCCCATCTTGGTCTCCCCATGGTTGAGCATCTAGGTAAATAATCTTGCATGCAATTGTGGGTAGACATAAGAGATCTAGGGTTGATCTATTTGTATCAACTTGTTGTGGCTGTCCTTTGGTATACTGGTGAGTTTTAATTGATTGTGATTCCACAATCAATTAAATTCCTACACAGTGATTTAAGCAGGTAGCAACAGCATTTGGCAAATTTGAGGAAAATTGATGTATATATAGTTTGGTAAGACCTATGCTACTAATTAGTATTCTGTATTAATGGAGAATTTTCCTTTATGATGAGGAGCCCCTAATGATTTTGCTATGGAGCCCCATCACAAATAGTTGCAGCCCTTGATCAATACTTGTATACCTTCTGTATGGAGGACATTGGTGAGTCCAGCTTTAGCTGTCATTTGCCAACTTTGGAGTGGACTAGCATTTATAGACACATTTATTTTGAGTGCATTTTTTTATAATGTTAGATTTCTAGTAATTTATCAATGGCAGGAAAAGGCTGTGAAAGCAAAGCAGTGATTAAATATATAAGGTGCTGGATTTACATTTCTTCTTTGTAAAGTACTATTATACCTTAAATAATACAGAGGAACAGTCAAAATAATGTAGTTAGGCAAAGCAATCTTCAGTTTAATGTTGTTGTGATATCCAATTGCTGACCTGGGTTACTACTTTCTACTCTTGTCCTAGTTAAACATTAACTTGCAATTTTACCTGCTTTCCGGGGTAATTCCATTGCAGATCAACCAACTCATTGTCTAGAACAATGCAGGAAATGGTGATGGTTTCACCTGTAGTGTAAACAGTTTTTGGAGCTTGCATTTCCACTGCAATATTATTACTTGCTGTAAGACAAAGAAAGGGCAGTTTATCAAACATTAACAATATTAACATTTTTAGCGGCTGCACATATTGAGCACTTTTCATTGCACACTTTTGAAAATATTGAAGTTGTTTTCCATTTTAAATTGATTGAAGATGACAACTAGTATCAACATATAAGTGAAAGACTCTTAGGTTTGTGGCCTGTTTTATGGAAGACGTCTATAAATCAAATGTGCTATAGACATAATCAGTGTTTAGTACAACTGTTTAGATAATCTCTAATTCTTTGTTATGAGAAAAGGGCACTGTGTTTAGTTAATATCTATATGTGTCTCTGCTAATTGCTTCTTTTATTTTCTATTTGCTTTGTATTATTTGAGTGATAAAGTAATAATTAAGAATAGCTAAAAAGAAAAAAAGAAAAAAGATTATTTTTCTGAAGTCTATTACGACAATGGCATTTAAGTTCTGAAAGTTTTATTGGGTATAATGAGTTAATTCGAAGCTCTTAGGCCCCATTCACACCAGGGCAGAAGCGTTTCAGCGGGGTTTACAAGCGATTTTTGAAAGGGCGCTTTTAATCGCGTTTCAGCGCATTGCAATCTATATGGAAAATGCGCGGAAAAGCCTTGCGATTGCATGAACAGTCCCCATAGGAAGGTATGAGATCTTTCATGTCGGCGGTTCAGCGCGGACAAATCTGCGTGACCAAACCGCCCTGGTGTGAACAGGGCCTTAGAGATTGAGCCCAGCAAAATGTAGCCACACGTAAAATACAATCTGCAATAGTTACTGACTAGTCTTGAGTTTGATTCTGTGTTGAACACTGTACAACACTGTAAAAAACTAGAAAAGTCAGACAGATGTGTTCCCCAATTAGGTGCATCCTTTTCCAGCAAAATCAAGGAAAAAGTAAAAGTAAAAACGAATAGGTTATGCTTATCTTTCCTCCAGTTATTTTATGAGAGGCCTAGTTTAGCAGAAAAAAACAGAATATACCATAAACTGTATGCAGTATTATTCAAGTTCTCTTTCAGTTTGCACAATACTAAATATTGACAGTAAAGGACTATTTAGAAAACCAACAGATTTAAGATGATTGCACAATTTAACAGAATAAAGTTGGATCGAGAAACGTTATTTTGCTGTGGGTATTCTCTGATCTCCACATACACCCTCTGGATGACCAATCACAGGGGAAGGAGCAATTGTCTAAAATAGATTTTCCCAATGACTGTTACATCCAGCGCCATGAGCTTCTGTACAATACAGAAACCCTTATCCTCAGCTAAATAGTTTGTGCATGTTTATGCAGTCATTCTATTTTAGGATCTTGTGGTGCTCAGATCAGACAACCACCATTTATAGATAGCCTTGGACAACAAATTGTGGTCCATTGAGAAGCAAATCATATTACAATCGAATTGTTGATCAGGGTGGATTGGATGGTAGAAATAAAAAACGGCTGGTAGGTGCAATGTATGTATCATGCGTGCTTTTGAAGGAGGAAAATGAACATGCAGTCTGAGTGAAGGTGTGAGGGAGTAGGATCTAACCAGTACAGGACTTGAGCCCCTAGTTCTCATTCTGACAGAGACAATTTTTTCCATAGTAAGGACAATCACATTTTGGCCTCTCCCTTGACCCTAGTATAATTGCATTAAGAATGGGGCATGGTTTTGCCAAAAGAATAACAAACCCATAAAACTTATATATATATACTGAGTGGCCAGATTATTATGACCACCTGACATTTATAGACAAATTAGCTATAATTAGCTATAATTTCGCGCTGAAATTGCTAGAGGGCCAGACGGGAAGCAGATTGTTTACCACGACAGTAGAAGTGATTTTTTTCTGAAGATACGGGTAAACCACGCGATTTAACATATATATATATATATATATATATATATACTGTATACATATACAGTGTATATATACTGTATATAAATAATATCCAACAGATACATTTTCCCAAAACACTGCATAAATCATTTTCTGACATTATAAGTACCTTTCCATGTCTGTAGGTTGAAATCATCTGTTATGAAGAGCACACCATTTACCATGGTTTCACAAATGTAGACACTTGATAGGAAATTGCCAACAAAACCTTGCTTGCTGTCGTAGAAGGCATTGACAATCTTGTCCATCTCTTTGTTCCTCAAGGTCACTTGGCTGTTGGGATCAGTTGTCCGACAAGGAACGATAGCAGAGTCATCTTCTTCCACTACAATAATGTGGTCAAACATTGCACATGGAACAAAAGGAACTGTGGGATCTAAAAAAACAGCCCATATATGAGTAATAAAGCCTTTATTCCATATTGTGGACATATATATATATATATCTCATATATCCACATGTCAACATTATCTATGCAAATTGTACAAAGGAACATCACACTAGTGTTGAGTCACTGCTACTATCTCATTCAGGGTCTCTGATTCGCAATAGAGTTTAAATTAAATTCTGTTTATTACACCAAGGAAAAGCTTTGCAGTTCTGGAAAAATTTACTCTCCATTTGGTACATCTTAAAGAAAAACAATGACCACTGCCTCTAATATCCATGTAGCCCTAGTTCAAATTTATGTAAGCGAATGTTTCTATAAACGTGAAATAAATAATAAAACATTTCAAAATCAAGCATTTGTAGTTTGTGATTGGTGGTAAGTGGACAAACCTGGAACATAAATGTACATTTCCATGCCTTCAACTTCCAATTCATCTGTCTGGGTGTGATTGTAATAGCAGGTATAGGATCCTGTGTGAATGGCAGACGCGTTCTTCACTTCTAGCACTGACATAAAGAGTCCGCTATTGTTTTCTTCATGCCGGATGTCTACATTGTCATCACCGTTATCTTCAGTGGGATACTTCCAACTTAGCTCACTCTCACCACTGCAGCTTATTGAAATGGAATGGTGTAACTGTACTACCATCTCATCATTCTCTGGGAAGATCATCGGCAAGGGGTTCGTACCATAAGTAAAAAGTGGAGCTGTAAAGCAAGCAAACAACTTTTCATCAGCCAACAGTACCTTACTGATGATCAATTCTGAAGAAGAAAAATTATTTTTATGGAAAGATGTCTTTATTTTAAGTTAAACCTAGAGCTCTTATGTTTAGAGTACTGAAAAGGAAAGATTTCATGTTGCTTAGAACAACCAGACACATTCCAGTTTTCCTAAGTTAGGAAAAAAAACTGATAAAACCATTTTGAGGTCCATGGGCTTATTGTACTGTAACATTACTAGATGCACAGTGGTCCCACCAAACCCCAGTACTCAATGTACCCAAAACTATATCTGCCTGAGTTAACTTTAGAGTAAAGGCCTTTGATTTGTATTTTTGCTAGTGATATGTGAGAAAAAGGATACTTCGCATGAATTGCTAATTCTGTGATTTACAGTTGTACAAATCTCTCTGTGGGGTATCATTGTATAAATATATCTAGGAATTAGTATTCATTAATTTCACAAGTAAATCAGCATTTGAATATCTAAAAAAAAATCAGAGCACTGCCATTCCCTGGTCAAAAAAAACAAACAAAACAGCCTAAATGTACCTGATATAAATTGAAGATCAATGCATCCATCTCTCAATAATTCTTTTGTTATATACGTTTATAAAATAACATTACATATGTTCTTTTGTACATTATTTAATACTATCCTCACATCGTTTTTTCTTAAACTTGTTAATTTATTTTGCTACACTGTAAGCACTTTATTGTTACTCTGAGGGTTCAGTAGTTGTCCAGAGCAATAAAAGAGACAGAAGCTGATATTAAGAATGATTTCTAGAACTCAGCTAAATAATTATACTGCACATACAAATTTATTTAAAATTCATTCAGCAAGTTTTGTGATTCAGGCATTCCTGCTAAACAGCACAGCCAGGTCAATGTCCTCACTTTTCTCCACTGCAGTTAAGAAATAAAGTTTTTGCATTAACCTGACCCAATGGGCTGACTGGACAATGATAGTGCAACTACAACACTAAAGTGATCCTCGCTGTGCTCTCACTCTGTATCCTACTGTAACCAAGCAACCAGTGTTAGACTGACTGACTGCACTGTGATCATCTGGATTGGCTCACATTGCTGCACATTTCCCTCCCAGTCTGCATTCTTCACTTCGGGGGCTTACAAAAAGCTAATACAAAGGTAGATGAAGCTAATTTTACTGTCTGCATTAAAACACATATTATATGTTTATGTAATGACTACATAACGGCATTCAGTTGCGATCTTTAGTTCTACCTGGAATTAAGTTTCAATCTTTACCATGCAGACACATTCATTTGGCTTATATACATTAGATATTGCAAAAATGTCATACTTACCAATAAACAGAAAGCATCCCAAAATTAGGGATTTCCTTGGGGCAAGCGCCATTATTCCTCAAGCTGCAATGATAAAAAAACATGATCAGTACATATTATAATGAAAATCAGCAGGAAATAAAAGTTCTTGATCTTAGTACAGGACTTGCATATATTGTGGTGCCCAGTAAATGTATTACTTACTTACTTAAAATGCCTTACTCTATTCAGATATGGAGCTTAAGGGGAATAACTGGTGAATCACACCAAATGCCTCTACCACAGTCACATAAACAGAAAAACACTGAATGCGGTTGATTTACTACAGGCAAACAGGCTGTTCACTGTGCAAGAGAATTTGCACTAGGGGAAGACTACCCTTTGTTTAGTGAATGAGGTGAAGTAAAATCATCTGATCATGCGCATGCAAATATGCTTTTTTAAGAAATTTCATGTGACTGGGTATTCTTGGCAAAGTGAAATTTCACCACATTCACTAAGCTTCCCCTTCAAAGTGTATTTGCCGGAGAAGCTTACTGAATTTGGTGAAACTTCCCCTACAAAGTGCATTGGCCTTTAGTAAATCAACCCCAATGAGATTTGATCAGTAAAGATACATCATAGAAGAATAAATGCAAATGGAAGCAAACAGGAATGCTGAAGCGCCCCCAGGAAATCCCCATGGAATGGTGAATAAAAATGCAGACGTCAACAGATTCATAACACTCCTCTACAATGCCCTCTACTGGTGTCTAGTTCTGATTCTGATGTGTTTCCCCTAAAAAGTCTGAAAGTGAGCTATTCCCAGTTTACCGAATGTCATGTAAAACCATTACATGAAAACAACATCTGTAATCTGATTGATGGACAAGACAATTCAATCTATTTCAGGCTCAATGACTCAGCCCCACTGTATACATTGCATGAAGGTGACGATGTTGACTTCCATATGATTGGATGTGCAAAGTTAACAGAGATTAAAACATTCATTGCTAGACGAAATAAAAATCAACAGAATATCATAGGGAAAGAAAAAAAATGCAATGATAGAATCAAACCAAAATGTACATTATCTATAAGCCTAAAAATGTTGTCTGTCTATGTCGGCAGTAAGACAGAAATGATGTCACTTTTCAGGAATCGCAATGACATATCTTAAAATATATGTAACAACGAGGTACATGAAACCAAGATATGAAAATCTGTATCTTGCATTCCTCCTAAAATATGCCCTACCCTTCATATACATATACAGCACATTCATTCAATGTTACAAGTATTTGCATCATGAAGCCGCCACCCGGGCAAAACATAGAGAATTAAACATCTGTATCATGAGATTATGGCAAGAAATATGACTAGATATACATAATATGGACATTGCATCCAAGAAGCTAGATAGGTATCCTATGGGTATGAAAAACATCAAAGGGCCCAGGAGCTGAGCCTGTCTGTGTTTTATCAGGACACTCTTTGTAATATCTATCTTTTGTCTAAAGCAAACAAAATCCTTTATCTATAAAGTGACTGTATGCAACAAACATAATTAAGAACCGTTTTGTCCTAAAACCACAAGGAAAAACAAGTTACTTTCTTAACAGTCATTATCCAAATGGTTTATTTGATATGGTTTCTTTTCAAAACCATTTTTTTCTCATAAGCAATGGACTTCTACTATAGTGTGTTCAGCTAGAACAATAGTTGTATAAAGGGACATTTGAATAAAAATATATATATTGTGCTTAAAGATTTTACCAGGAAATTGTATATTTTTATTGTATAAATTAAATTTGGATTGAAAATAAATGCCTTCTAGTCCACCTCAGATATGGTTTGGGTGTATAAAAAGGAGATGCTTCTGAATGACCAATGCTGCGCAGAAGTGATATTATAGTTTGCATTGTTTTGGGCACACCAAATCACATGAAGGATTCTTATAATATTTTTACAACCAGGCATTGCAAAGCCAAATGATGGTGTCCCCCTCCTCACTTCACCATTCTGTAGACTACACAAATGACAGAGGGAATGCTGCCTTCAGCATGACCTTGTAGAAGGAGCTGAGATATCAGTTGGGTGTAACCACAAACACCATGGAATTATGCCATGTCCCCCCTCCAACAAGACCTCTAGACCAACACTATGCTGTGTAAAATCATCTACTTTATTATAGCTCTTAAAGAAACTCAGTTCTAGAACCCAGCACAGTTTGGGGTTTTATTTGCTCTTTCCCAAACATATCCGGTAAACGTTGAAAACCAAGGGTTGTGCCTTTTTATATCACACACCTACCACATTCAATCAATCAGAGACCAACATTCTTACCAATAGGAAGTCCCTATTTTAGCCTCCCTCTCCATGAATTCCCCATTGCACAAAATTGTTAAAAGGATTGGGGAATCGAGCTGCAGATGCATGATGCCTTTATTATGGCCTTGTGAGAGGCGTAGGAGGCACATTCTTCTAAATTAATCTCACCACTGGAGCCACAAAAAGATATGAGTCTGTTGGGTGATGTAACCAGACACTGTCCAATAAAAATGGATTCTTGGGTGAGTGGATCTTTAATCTATATGGACTGCATCTTTACAGTTGAAAGTCAGGCAAGTCCCCAATTCATGTAAAGTACCCCTGGTAAGGTCACATCTTCCACAGAACAAAAGACAATGTGATAAAAAAAACGCAATGTGTGGAATGTTTTTCAGTATGCCACAAGTGCCATCATGTGTAAAGAAACAGGGCAGATTTAGTAAAAATAATTGTGTCTACCATTCCATTCATACACCCAAACTGAGCCAAAACATAGACATTTCTGCAAACCTGGTTTGGTATTACGTTTAGTATCAGAGAAGAAAGAGCCTATCTCCATGGTCAGAAGAATACAGCTGGGTATCAACATAATACACCCTCTGTGTGATAGGACCATGAAGCATCAAAGGGAAACTACATATTTCATATACTAATATAAAATGAAATACTGTATATGTTTGGCCTGGACTATAATAAATAAATAAATAATCTACAAATGCACTATACCATCCAAAACCACTACACCTATAAGTGAGATTTAATAACTCACAGATATTTTTATTAAATGATGTAGATGTTTTGAGGAAATGTGATTGGTTGCTATGATTTACTGCATTTTGACATGATTACTACACTACACTGTCTTCCTGAATAACTTGCCATGCGCTAACGCATTTTGTGACATGTTTGTTAAAAGACAAGCTGCTAAAATAAAGAATGCTGTCAGATTCAGGTTCACAATTACAAAATGAAGGAGAAAGAAGCAGCACTTTATTTTTTTAAAAAGCATGTCACATGTCAGTGTGGAATCCCACCAGAATGGAACTATGGAAAAGTAAATGTATTTTAATTTTGCTGTTAGTTAATTATTACAAAGGGCTAGCCTATAAATAGAAACAAGCATTCTGGAATCTAAGGAAGGCTTTTTTTTAACTGAGAGCATTTTACTAATGCTTGTTGTTGTTACCAAATGACTACATTTTTGCAAATGGAAGCACTTGGATTTGTAATTCTTTATAGCTAAGGCTAGGACTTTTAGATTTGGACATTTGCAATAAGAAAAATATTCTGATCAGAAAAAACAAACCAATGTACCACAAAAACTAAGTTGCTAAGCAATACCTAGCAACTTTACTGACACTGTATGCGTGGCAGCAATTTTTCTTTTGCATGCCTAAAACGAATGTAATGTTGCATACAAACTTGCCTTACTTCTAAACAACATTGGAATGTCTTAATTGTCAAATAAAATACAAACACAACTGCTGAGATCACTCTGTATAATGTATGCTGAAAAGCTTTTAAGATCTTGGATAGAACATGTAATTGGGAATAAATGTCATGAGAAGGGAACAAAACACATTAACAAGAGCCATCTACTGCTGAAATAACCCATCTTTCGTTTTACTTCGATCATGTGTAATATGTATATTGACCACTAGAGGGCAGTGGTGTCCTAAACATGCACAGCCCTGGGTATAATGCTGGATCCAGATGCTCATGACCATCTGAAAGACCCCTTGCATTGTCTCTTTAATCTGCAGTCATAAACGTCAATTACAAATTGTTATTAAAATGTAAGCAAAAATATTACGGCCTGTATTTCATATAAATCCATGTCCTGATGATCCTTTACTATATAACTGATATCATGGCAGTACAGAACACTTGCATGCTTTTTATTCTTATGTCACAGTCCAGCTGTTTCTTCTAGCCAGATATAAAAATTAAGCACATCATATTAACTAGTGGGGTTGATAGAGACTGTATCCTATTAATTAAATAAGATGATGTTGTGTTCACTGCAAAACAATGTGCTACCGAATTTCCTTCACACATGATTCGAAGTGAATGCAGTTCAGTTTCACTAATTGTACTCCGTTCATTTTGCCCTGTTATTATTATATTTAGGGGGGGGGGCAAAAGCTTACATTATTTTTTTTTAAGTATTTAAAGGCAATATACATAACTAATGCAGATCAGGGGTTATGTACTAAAGATGTAGCTCCTCTAGTCTATGATGTCTGCCCAAAATACTCATTTGGATTTAGAGGAAAGCTGAGTTTTCTAAAATGAGATGTATATGAAGTAAACCCCAACTATGATGTGAATGAATCCTTCAGTCAGTCAGGCAGATATCTATATGACCAGCCTATAGCCTTCCACTGTCAGCAACGTGTCTACAAATCTGCCTTTTCTTTGCTTGTAACATCTCATACACAGTACAAAGCAAATCATTCATCAAAGGTAAAATACAGAAGTTACAAGTGCAATGGCTGCAGCCTTCCTAATTTATAGATAGCACTGTGTGTCTATTTGACCCCAAATCAGGACTTTAAACAGTCACCAGGGACAAGCCAGGTTTGAAGATGAAGTAAATGGATTGAGCAGAGGCTGAGAAGAGAAGCTTTGCTTGAAGTCTCTCCCAGCTGACAAAATACTAACCAGAATGTCTTTTCCAGAGGCAGAAGCTGCACATGGGGTCAACGAGTATTGTCACCGGTCCAGGCAGGGGACAAAGTGACACAACAGACACCATCTATACACCAACAAGG